GTTGTTAAAATTGACATTGAAAATTAGCCCACTTCTGATTGCTCTATAGATCTGAAATTTGGCATGCAGGTTACTTTCGCCTAACAATTTCAGATGCAATCATAAAAACTAGCAATTAGAGACCGTAATTAGCTTAATTTAATTACGCCCTAAGGACCATAAAATTGAGGACATGATTTCTAAAGATACCGACAAGACTGAAGACCTATTGACACAGTTACTTCGGCCCCAATCGATGTGAGCGCGCTGGCCGTGATCGTATAGTGGTTAGTACTTCGCGTTGTGGCCGCGACAACCCAGGTTCGAATCCTGGTCGCTCAAGATTTTTAGTCCGTGTATTTATAAACACTTAGTCAAGTCATACTTAATGAAGTCATTAGATAAAGTAGAAAATAAACTATATAAAAAACTTTTTTAAAAACCACGTTTTTCATGTGTAGCAACGGACTAAAAAGGAGAAAATAAAATACTTAAAAAAAACTTTTTAAAAAACCACGTTTTTCTTGTGGACTAAAAAGTAGAAAATAACTATTTACATACATTTGATGACAAAAAACGTGGGTCGGGCAGATGGGTCGGGAAATTTGATGGTGAACGTACCCACGTTTTTTGTCATCAAATGTATGTAAATAGTTATTTTCTACTTTTTAGTCCACAAGAAAAACGTGGTTTTTTAAAAAGTTTTTTTTAAGTATTTTATTGTAACAATGAAACACGCGATTATTTTGAAATTAATTTGTTTTTCCTTTTCATAGTTTTATATTGTCCAATCTATCTAGGTACGAGGCGTTTGGCTTTAATAACCTCAGACCTAAGAAAAACAACAATTATTACTTTGTTTTATTCAAAGATAGGCCAGACAAACAAATCTATACCATGCCTATAAATATACAGATAAATTAATTTGTTACTCCAATCTTCACGAACAGTGTTGTGTATTTCAAAATAATGTTAACAGATATTTAGAAAAGACGCAGAATTCATTTTCTTTGATTTGTAGGGGATCATAGTATATTTAGTTCAAAAAGTATTTTCAGAAGTTATGAAAAAAAGCTATATTTATAGCATTGTGTCTGAACTCTAATCAGTACCCTGAATATAATTCTTAAATCCAATCCCAGACTTATAAGAAATACCCTCATACACAATACTAGATACTGTATTGTATTCTATCGAAAGAATTTTCATTAGAACTATTGTTCAACTTTATTAGGTCTAATACTTTCGCGCAAATACTTTTAGTTAGAAAAGTTCAACGCAAAAGTAATGGGATGTGTTTGTAGAATTTGCTGAAAAATGTGATTTTTCTGACAGATTGAAGCCGGTTGCTGTAGTTTGATGTGGTTAGCCGACCATCACAAAAAACAAGCAAATAAGCCAAGCTTAATGAAACCACAATCTGCTCCCTGCCTCACAGGAAGTGACAAAAGAGCTCGCGGGTAAGGGACGCTACTCCGGGTCGAGGTGATAAAAGGGAGGTAACAATTTCAAGGGAGAACTGGTGATTATCCCCCTTAGGGGCTCAAGTCGGTGAGGAATTCCCTGGAGTATTTTGATGTTGGTTCAAGCAAGGGGAGTTTACTCCATCTGAGCACGGTCAAGCGAGTAGAGTGGCGCTCGCGTCGAAAAGGGCATCAACACCTTCGTCTGTTGCGTCTGTGCTAAGGTTGCTGACGCTTCAGGGAGCAATTTCAGCATCACACTTGTGTATTTGTGTGGAGATGTTGTTTTTTGCCTTCAATATTTAATTTATGTTTAGTTTTTTATTTGTCGACAGAACAATATGCGCCGGTTTGTGATTCAAGGGAAAAAAAACAACGAAGCGATCGCGAGATGTGGACAGAAATATTAAATGGTGGCGATGGTGATGTGACCTCACTGACCCGGTCTACAAGCGAATTCATTGGTTATCCTCATATTTACACACCAACCCACACACCAACCACACCTCAACCTACACAAGCGCACATTCAAACACACACCAACCCAAACACCAACTCACACACCAACCCAAACACCAACTCACACACCAACCCCTACATTAACTCTTATTGTGTTTCTTTCATCAAATTAAATATCATTTAAAGTGGAATGTCATCCATCATACACACAGCATCAAACAGCCAACATTATCTAACATCCACTACAACATCCACCATCCACACAGTATCCATCATGCACACAGTATCCACCATCCTACATCATCCACCATCCTATATCGTCCAGCATCCACACAGCATCCTACATCCACTACATCATCCAACATCAATCCAACATCCACACAACATCCATCATCCATCATCCACACACCATCCAACATCTATCTACCATCCATTATCCACACACCATCCAGCATCCACCCACAATCTAGCCTCCAAGAGCCACCTGGCACTCTTCAAAGTCCTCACCCTTCCTAACGTCTGAAAGCTGTCACCACATAGTCCACCCCCCCCCCCCCCCCCCATCTCGACTGGACATCTGAACATACAAGATGTGAAGCGCCGGCATCATTAATTACCAGACAGAAATGCTAATTTCACAACTATCTCAGCATAATTATCAGGAGGTCACCAGAAATTATCGCTGTCACCGTCATTATCGCCCGTCTAAATCTCGTAACAACAGCTTTCACAGATACGTGCATTTTGGGAAATGTCAAAATAACATATGTAAAGACCTTTAAAATCATTTACCAAATGAACTTTAAAAATAACTTATTATAAATAACGTATAAATATAATTGACTGAAAAGACCATTAAAAATAACCTGTTTAAAAGACCATTAAAAATAACCTATGGAAAAGACCTTTAAAAATAAATTATTGAAAAGACCGTATTAAAAAAACTATCTTAAATGCCAATAAAAAAATTTTTACTGAAAAATCATTAGTAAAAATTTGCTAAAAAGACCGTTAAAAATAACTTTCTGTAAAGGCAAATAAAAATCAGCTATCGAAAAGATCGTTAAAAATAAGTTATCGAAACGATCGTTTAAAAAAAAACACTGAAAAAAGAGATAAAACAGCTATTTGGTAACCCCGTACTAGACACATTTTGTTGGGGTCAAAGGTTATACTCAACAAAGCTAGCGAACTGTGACGCGGCCTTGTATAGATGAGTCACATGGTGAGGTCATGAAAGTAAATAGTAATTAGACCCAAAGCAATCACCCATCGAATGTTTAATGAGACACCGCTGAACATTTGATACATGCAACTCAAAAACCTAGAGACTGTACCTGGTTTTAATTAATTAGCTCTCTATTTCGTTCTCATTAATTCTAGTCAGATAGTAGTATTTAATTCTAATTAACTCGAACCCAGTATTTTAATAACTTCTAATACATTAACACGGTATTTGTACCTGTATTTAAATAACTAGCCAGGTATTTTTCTGGTTCTAATGAACTAACATAAGTATTTATACCTGATTTTAATTGATTTAGACTAGATATTTAATACCTGGTTTTAATTAATTTTAACCAAGTATCTTAACCAGGTATTTATACCCAGTTATAATTAACTAGCTAAGCATTTATACCTAGTTATAATTAACTATCTAGGTATTAATACCTGGTTGTAATTAACTCTGGCTGCACCTGGTATTAATTAACTCTAGCCAGGTATGTGTACCTTATTGAATGTATTCACCGGCTGGGTAAGCCGCTCATCATGAATGCATGTTTGTGTGCGCACCGCTGCGTTCATTCGACAGCACAAAAGTTGTGCATTGAACGTCGATGCACCACCACCGGCTGTCGCCCACAGCTACACAGTGAGTTGTGCTGAGCTGTGAGTGGTGTAATGAGATGCTCAGAATGTACGTGCTGCCTATCTGCCCCCCCCCCCCCCCATCTCCTCAGTCCATGAGTTTGACTTGTTTGTCTGTGCGTCTGTCTATCAGTCTGTCCGTTTTCTGTCTATCCGAAAATGTCTGTATATCCATAAGAGGGTTAGTCAGTCTGTCAGTAGAGATTATTTTTTATATTACGACAACACTTGCCTAATGACAAGATAACTCGGAAACACTTGCCTAATGACAAGATAACTCGGCAACAGTTGCCTAATGACAAGATAACTCGGCAACACTTTCCTAAAGACAAGAGATCTCATCAACACTCGGAAAATGAAAAGAGAACTCGGCAACACAAAAGATTTCGAGATCTCGTAAATGCTTGCCGAATGACAAAAGGTCTTGGAAAGACTTGCCTACTGTCAAAAGATTCCGGCAAAATACTTTCCTAATGACCAGAGATTCCGGCAATACTTTCCTAATGACAAGAGATTTAGGCAACAATTGCCTAATGACAAGAGATTCCGGCAGCACTTGCCTAATGACAAGAGATTTAGGCAACACTTTCCTAATGACAAGAGATTTAGGCAACACTTGCCGAATGACAAGAAATTCCGGCAGCACTTGCCTAATGACAAGAGATTTAGGCAACACTTGCCGAATGACAAGAAATTCCGGCAGCACTTGCCTAATGACAAGAGATTTAGGCAACACTTGCCTAATGACAAGAGATTTAGGCAACACTTGCCTAATGACAAGAGATTTAGGCAACACTTGCCTAATGACACCTGTCCTCACCAGTTGTGTACATTAACCGAGTTCTATTTCAGTGACGTAATATCGATGTACTTAAGGAGGACTAGAAAATCGCCCACAGCTATTTGCCATTATCTCCCTCTGACCCCCACCCCCTGACCCCCCCCCCCCCCTCCCTTAACGACTCCAAGGCTATTTCACCATTCAAGCTAATTCATCAGGTGAGTTATTACAAAACATATGTTATCCATTTTTTAAAATTACAAATTACGATGTTTTACATACGTCTTCGCTAATTGTTTTTATTTTTATTTTTAATTTACGAAAATAAAAACTTAATACTTGACTCTTAAATCAAACAGTTTAAAAAAAATTCATATGCGAAGTGTCTCAAGATCTCCTTTTTTCTGTAATTTCATGAAAAAAATATTTTAAAAAAATATTGTACTCACCAAGTAACGAAACAAGTGCAGCTATCTCCACGAGTGACCTTGACCTCCCGGACATTGTCTGTGAGATGAGGAGATGACCAGAGCTGGACTTGAGGGGGCGGGGGTGGGGGGGGGGGGTCAGACAAGCAACACCGGCGTCAATCAATAGGGGATAACCATGATTGGGCAGATCGATGGCGTATAATTAAGTTGGGGGGAAAGTTTTTAGACGACTCCGATACCTTAATGTCGTTTCAATGGTAGAGTAATCCAAGGGTATCGATGCTGAAATTTCGGGCGACTACACCTTTTGATTGAGTACACCCACGAGTGGCAAAAACAGTGCCATATCAAAATATTTTGAGAGAACTTGATGTAAAATATGTCTTCAGACAATTTGATTTAGGATCTTTCTTCAACCAATTTGATGCAGGATTCTTCTTGACACAATATAGTGTAGTATCTTTCTTTATGTATCTGTAGCGAAAAATTCAATACAGTCAACACACATTTTAAAATTATAAAATTTTCAAAACAGCTCGATGAAACGTCAAAATCAGATAAAAAGAGCGTCACAGAATCAGATAAAAAGATCATCACATAATGAGAAGAAAGATCGTAATGCAATTAGGTAAAAGAGCATAGTATGATCGTACTAAAAATAACTGTAATTATACAGAAATCAAGAAATTGTAATAAGAATAAATGTAACAATTGAAATAAATAACATAATGTAGTAAGTTTATACGGCTTTGTTGAAATGGCAAACATATTTTCCTTAGACATCCATAGAATAACGTGTAGGAAACTATATGGATGAAACTTCTGCTACATCATGTGATGCACCCTTTCACTTCTTCAAATCCGAGTAACTGCTGATTTAAATATACACTAGCACGCGACGTGGTCTGGTATGGTAATTTAAAAATACATTAGCGGATGTCGTGCTGGGATATTTGTGATATAAATATATACTAGCGAACGTCGTGGTCGGATACTGGTGATATAAATATATACTAGCGGTCGTCGTGGTCGGTTTTTGGTAATATAAATATAAACTAGCGGAAGTTTGGGTCGGATATTTGTGATATAAATATATACTAGCGGACGTTGTGGTCGGTTTTTGGTAATATAAATATAAACTAGCGGAAGTTTGGGTCGGATATTTGTGATATAAATATATACTAGCGGACGTTGTGGTCGGTTTTTGGTAATATAAATATAAACTAGCGGAAGTTTGGGTCGGATATTTGTGATATAAATATATACTAGCGGACGTTGTGGTCGGTTTTTGGTAATATAAATATAAACTAGCGGAAGTTTGGGTCGGATATTTGTGATATAAATATATACTAGCGGACGTTGTGGTCGGTTTTTGGTAATATAAATATAAACTAGCGGAAGTTTGGGTCGGATATTTGTGATATAAATATATACTAGCGGACGTTGTGGTCGGTTTTTGGTAATATAAATATAAACTAGCGGAAGTTTGAGGCGGATACTTGTGATATAAATATATACTAGCGGACGTTGTGGTCGGTTTTTGGTAATATAAATATAAACTAGCGGAAGTTTGAGGCGGATACTTGTGATATAAATATATACTAGCGGCCGTCGTGGTCGGATATTGGTTATATAAATATATAATAGCGGACGTTGTGGTCGGTTTTTGGTAATATAAATATAAACTAGCGGAAGTTTGGGTCGGATATTTGTGATATAAATATATTTTAGCGGACGTCATGATACTAGTGATATAAATATATACTAGCGGACGTCATGATACTAGTGATATAAATATATACTAGCGGATGTCGTGATATTGGTGATATAAATATATTCTAGCGGACGTCATGATACTAGTGATATAAATATATTCTAGAGGACGTCATGATATTGGTGATATAAATATATTTTAGCGGACGTCATGATACTAGTGATATAAATATATACTAGCGGATGTCGTGATACTGGTGATATAAATATATTCTAGCGGACGTCATGATACTAGTGATATAAATATATTCTAGAGGACGTCATGATATTGGTGATATAAATATATACTAGCGGACCTCGTGGTCGGGCAGTAGAGCGTAAGTGCTCTGATTTCGTACCCCGGTCAGATGAGGCTCGTAAGCTTGGTAAGGTAAATCATCTAGGAGAGACAACTCCAAAATCAAACAACTTTGTCTCACATATTGTTCTTTCGTGGACTAGCTATGACAAGCAAATCCAGAAAGAGAAGCAGGCTGAAGTGGGAGTCAAGGAACCAGATGGCGCATATTTTATTATGTAATACTTCATTGTCTTGGTAGATCTCCCCTAATAAATTACTACTAATAATAAGAAAAACACACTATTACTATTTTAAAGCTACTTTGGTTATTTATAGAAATGTATTAAATATATAATAATCATTTATATTTACGTTATTGTTATGCATTTGCATTCGAACAACTGAAAACTAATTACCATATTGGCTGTAACAAGTAGGTCAAAAGAAAGACCATTTTATTTATATTTTCTGCGATTAGTCATGATAATTATTTTTAGCGTTTCTTTAAAAAAAAAGGTTTTTCCAGTTAGGAAAAACGTTTTGACGGGTCGCAAAATAATTTTAGCGAGTTAAAAAAATCAGTTTTTAGCGAGTTTAAAAAAGTAATTTAAAAGTAGTAATCGACGTCAAAAAAACGTGATCGATTTTAACCGACTATTCCTTTTTTTACATGAATTATATAAAAAGTAATTATATTAATGTTTTTTTTTAGGAAAACTTATTAAATATTTCTAATATTACAAACCTGCTTTTGCTGTATGTAATAATTTTATAACAATTTATGTTTTTAATGTAAGTTTGATATTTATATCAAACAGCTTACATTTATTACAAAACACATATAGATCTATCTGAAATTTCGGAAAAAGTTTATTTGAACACAAGTTTAAGTAAAGATATGAAAAATCGTAAATTAAATTTAAGTTATGACAGAACATGAAGTAACTTAACTAGATCACTCGTATTGTGGGTTTCTTCGTGTACATAACAGCCTAGTGATTCACAAAGGTTTCTGTGTAATTTTGCTTCTATTTTAAAATGTCATTACTCATGTTTTGATAAGCACGAAATGATTAGCCAGGTTTAAATAACGATTAAAAAACTACAATTATTCATCTACGCATCTACATTAAGCAGCTATTAATTAACCTGTAACTCGTGTTATTAATGAGGCATTTTAATTAAATTCTAATTTTCTTTTAATTAAGTAAGTTATTAATTAAAGTTAAGTAACTGAATAAAAAATATGTAACACACATACTTGTTAGATGAAAGTAGTTAGCTACAAATTAAATATTCTGACTTGACTTCAAATCACAGGCTCAAAAATTTAATTAAGTGAGATAATTAATATTCTGACTCACAAAATTAATATTTTTTAGTTCAATTGAAGTCGTAAAATTAATATTTTGGCTGACTTAAAGTAGCTGAATTAATAATTTGAGTTAAATGGGTTCTTAGAAAAAATATCATGAGTTGACTTTAAGTAACATATCGATAACTGAGTTGACTTTAAGTCACATACTCAATACACGTAGCTGACTTTAATCAAAAGACTGAGTTGACTCAAAGTCACATAATTGATGGATTGAGTTGACTTTAAGTCACATAATCAATAGGCTGAATTGACTTTAAGTCATCAAATCAATAGACTGAGTTGACTTAAAGTCACATCATCAATAGACTGAGTTGACTTAGTCATATAATAATAGCCTGGGCTGACGGTCTGTGAAACAAATGTTCTAATTTAGACACTGATGCCAGACTTCAGACCATTTCCTGCAAGCCACGAGAGAAACACCCTGGGGAAAGTTAAGGGAGTGGGGAAGGAAGTTGGGGTGGGGGAGGGGGGATTGACCTACATGAACAGGGGGCATTGTGACATTTCTTGGAATAGTTTACCGCCGGTATATTTTACTTCAAAATTTACAAGTGCGCTTGGACAAAATCATACCGTATATGTATCATGAGCAGGAAAACTTTACCGTAGCTTACTATTAATCAGTACTAATGCACCAAATAATCTTACAGTAACTCTGCAATGAATACCATCGCATAATAATCTTACCATAATTCATAAGCAATGATTACCGGCCCATACATTAATCACACCGTAGTTATCTTATATTGGACACCATAGTATTACAATCTTACCTTAGTTCACGAGCATTGAACACTCACCTACAATAATTTTATCGTAATTTACATGCAACAAATCTACAATAATCTTACCATAACCCACATATAATTAACACCAACCCACCTAATAATCTTACCGCTATTCACGTGCAATATTTACCAACCCAATTATAATTGTACCGTAATTCACGTTTTATGATGATCATCCTACAATAACCTACCGTAGTCACAAAGCGCGCTAGTAAATCCGCTCTCTAACCACACCAATTAAGAAAACTCTAAGCTCGTGTATCGCATGTCCAGTAAAGAGCCACCGAATGTCCAGTAAAGAGCCGCTGAGTGAATCACCTCATGCACGTATCCAAGTTGACCTGTCGTAAGAGACTTCAAATGTCCAGTAAAGAGCCGCTGAGTGAATCACCTCATGCACGTATCCAAGTTGACCTGTCGTAAGAGACTTCAAATGTCCAGTAAAGAGCCGCTGAGTGAATCACCTCATGCACGTATCCAAGTTGACCTGTCCCAGTGAATCACCTCATGCACGTATCCAAGTTGACCTGTCGTAAGAGACTTCATGAATGAGCGCTTCAGGCGTGTCGCCACCGCACGCGCACAAAAAATGTGTCCCCCCACCGTGCCGCTCGCCTGACGGTGCCGTCGCTCACCCGCCTGTTTGGGACCGTCCACGGTGTCCAGCGCTCGGTGGATGGCCGCCTTGCCGCACCCACCTCCCACTGTCGGTAACTGTTCCCTTACACCCCCCCCCACTCAACCGCCCTACTCCACCCACCTCCCACTGTCGGTAACTGTTCCCTTACACCCCCTCCCCTCCCAACCGCCCTACTTCACCCACCTTCCCACTGTCGGTAACTGTTCCCTTACACCCCCCCACTCAACCGCCCTACTTCACCCACCTTCCCACTGTCGGTAACTGTTCCCTTACATCCCCCCAGCTTAACCGCCCTACTTCACCCACCTCCCACTGTCAGTAACTGTTCCCTTACACCCCCCCCCCACTTAACCGCCCTACTTCACCCACCTCCCACTGTCAGTAACTGTTCCCTTACACCCCCCCCCCCACACTTAATCGCCATGCCGCACCCACCTCCCACTGTCAGTAACTGTTCCCTTACACCCCCCCCCCACTTAACCGCCCTACTTCACCCACCTCCCACTGTCAGTAACTGTTCCCTTACACCCCCCCCCCCCACACTTAATCGCCATGCCGCACCCACCTCCCACTGTCAGTAACTGTTCCCTTACACCCCCCCCCACTTAACCGCCCTACTTCACCCACCTCCCACTGTCAGTAACTGTTCCCTTACACCCCCCCCCCCACACTTAATCGCCATGCCGCACCCACCTCCCACTGTCAGTAACTGTTCCCTTACACCCCCCTCCCACACTCAACCGCCCTACTTCACCCACCTCCCACTGTCAGTAACTGTTCCCTTACACCCCCCCCCACACTTAATCGCCATGCCGCACCCACCTCCCACTGTCAGTAACTGTTCCCTTACACCCCCCCCCCCACTTAACCGCCCTACTTAAACCACCTCCCACTGTCAGTAACTGTTCCCTTACACCCCCTCCCACACTCAACCGCCCTACTCCACCCACCTCCCACTGTCAGTAACTGTTCCCTTACACCCCCTCCCACACTCAACCGCCCTACGTCACCTACCTCCCACTGACGGTAAAAGTTCGCCCTCCCCCTCCCAACCGCACCAATTCGTCTAACTACCAATTAGTTAGTTATGCCCCCACCCTTTTCAAAATCATATGGGTCGGATTGATAAACGCCTTTATTTCATTACCGTACACTGTAAGTAACTCTATTGCCTTACCCCCCCCCCCCCATATTTCACCACGGGTGGATCTCCACTTTTTTTCATCCATCTCCTCCTCTCGCTACTCCCCCTTTCCCTCCCAAACCGCTGGTGGGTCACCCTATTTCACTCACCCCCATCTGTCGGTACCCCCCCCCCCAAAAAAAAAAAACCACGAGTAAATTGACCACCCTGTTTCATCCACCCTTTGTCGTCAATAGTACCCCACCCCACTCAGAGTATAACTGCTCTGAACCTCCCCACCCCCACTGAGGTTAACCCTTCCCCCATCCAATCGCATGGGTCGGTTTATAAACCGTCACCCCCCCCCCCCCTCCCCCAACCCTGTGTCCATGATTTCTACACCCCCTCATAACCTGCCCTCTAACTGGTTTCACATCGTTTCAATCCTAACCCACACTCCTTGCACTAACATCTAATTCAGAGCTTAAATAATAAGCTCACAACGTGCTGAAACTTAAAGCGCTTAAGGTGATTACATTTTTTAATTAAAATAACTGAATTCTTTTGGGATCAACATGGATTTATTTAAAGAATATATAAAGGCTATAAAAATCATTTACATAATTTTTTTAAAAATTATTACAATAATATAGCTTAAGATTATAGGCCAATGCATTTTTTTAAAGGTATTACTTAACAATGCACATATTTGCATTAATCGCAATGCGGAAATCGGGCAAGTATCGACCAGTGATTTAAATTTCAACTGGTCCAAATCAACTAAATGACCGAATTTTGCTGCTGCCATTTTTTTGCAACTCAAATGTTGACTTTTTTCTCTTTCTCTCTACTACCTCATGCATACATGCCAAGCCGTACACCGCCGGCTTTGCCGTGCAGAGCCGGCGTATAGAGCCGGTCCTTGCCTAATGCACACACTCGAATCAATCAATGCCGTCCAGTTGTGCAATTGTTCCCGCCTGCGCCAATCCCATCAAACACCTGTCGAACAATTAACCCAACTCTGTGATTTCTCTGGCATCGATTATTAGATGCACAGTGATGGCGGAGGGTGGGGGACGGTGGGGGTGGGGGACGTTGGGGTGGGGGACGGTGATGTGGGGGTGGGGAGGGGTGGGGGACGTTGGGGTGGGGGACGGTGGGGTGGGGGGGTCGGACAGCTCCGTCTGGCACACTCGGCGCTATAGCCAGACTGGGGCAGTGTCCACATAGTGCCGGGGAAGCTCTCGTTACAGAGACGGGGTTCAAGTACCTTAAAACGTCCCTGAGGCTACCCAGCTCTAATGGGTACCCAAATCACGTTAGTAAAGGCGGTTGGACTTAGTGCTAGCCATATTATCCCTTCATATGCCGAGGTCAAAAAACATAAGAACTACCTTAAGCTATCGTTACAGATACGAGAATTTGGAATTTATTATCTTACAAATATACTAAATATCTTATCATCAAAATATTCTTCTTTCGACTTTATTTTATTTTAATTGTTGACTCCCAAAGTATTATTGAAATGTGATTTTAAATATTTTTAAAGACGGTCATGAAACGAAGCAAAAATGTTTTAAATAATGGTATAGTTTGTTATAAATAATAATAATAAATAATTGCGTTGAATAAAATTGAAATTGATGTGTGTGTGTGTAGGTCTTCATGGGTCTTCAAGGGTCTTCATGGTTTTTCATTGGTCTTCATGGGTCTTCATTGTTCCTCATGGTTCTTCGTGGGTCTTCATGGTTCTTTATGTGTCTTCGTGGTTCTTCGTGGGTCTTCATGGTTCTTCATGGGTCTTCATGGTCTTCGTGGGTCTTCATGGTTCTTCGTGGGTCTTCATGGGTCTTCATGATACATCAGCATCAAAAGTACAGGTCCGGGGTTTGCTGGAGAGAAGGGACCTGACCAAAAAAAATTACGGCGCCAAAATATTTGTCTCTAACAGGAAACGAGATAGAGAGATAGAGAGAGAGAGAGTTTGAGGACTCTGAAAGACATTTACGTCACTGTGTTAGACGCGGTTTTACAAGATTTAAAAGGACGTCACATACTTAGCTTTATAACTAATCCAGCACTCATTGTCTGCTAAGGGTCGGACTAAGACCTCACGGCGTGTCACCCCCCACCTCCCCCTAGTGACGCCATTTTCTCAGACGTCTGGTAACTAAACCAGCCTCCGTCAGGGTTCTATAAAAAGGTCATTGTGATCTGGTATCATGCGCGCGCCTCCCACGTGATCAAAAGCGGCGCCGGAAGTGGAGAAAACAGATAATTGGAGCCGGCAAATACGTCACTGATCTTGTTCTTTCTTAAATCTACTTAGACCGGCTGAATTCAGGCTTATAAAAGCTTCGATTAACAGATTACAATTTAAATCACGCAAGTAAAGAAATGGCATTTGTATAAGACAATTAGGCAACATTAAATTTTAATAGATTAATGATTTTTTTTGTCGTGGGTAATGGAATATTTTCTTGGTTTTAGCTTAACTTACACACGGTGGTTTTGTTTAAAAGCAATGGAAAGAAACAGTATTGTTAGATTTCTGTCTGTTTTTTTGGGAAATGTGTACATTTTCAAATTCTGCTGTTTTATTCATATACCTTGGGGATTTTTCCTCCCAGCTTGGGTTTTAGCCGCTAAAGTCAAGTGGGTCTTTAGTCACAATGGTCAAGTAGGTCTTTAGTCACAAGGGTCAAGTGGGTCTTTAGTCACAATGGTCAAGTAGGTCTTTAGTCACAAGGGTCAAGTGGGTCTTTAGTCGCATGGGTCAAGTGGGTCTTTAGTCGCATGGGTCAAGTGGGTCTTTAGTCACATGGGTCAACTGGGTCTTTAGTCGCAAGGGTCAAGTGGGTCTTTAGTCGCATGGGTCAAGTGGGTCTTAACTCGCATGGGTCAAGTGGGTCTTTAGTCGCATGGGTCAAGTGGGTCTTTAGTCGCATGGGTCAAGTGGGTCTTTAGTCGCATGGGTCAAGTGGGTCTTTAGTCGCATGGGTCAAGTGGGTCTTTTGTCGCATGGGTCAAGTGGGTCTTTAGTCGCATGGCTCAAGTGGGTCTTTAGTCGCATGGGTCAAGTGGGTCTTTAGTCACATGGCTCAAGTGGGTCTTTAGTCACATGGCTCAAGTGGGTCTTTAGTCGCATGGGTCAAGTGGGTCTTTAGTCGCATGGGTCAAGTAGGTCTTTAGTCACATGGCTCAAGTGGGTCTTTAGTCGCATGGGTCAAGTGGGTCTTTAGTCGCATGGCTCAAGTGGGTCTTTAGTCGCATGGGTCAAGTGGGTCTTTAGTCGCATGGCTCAAGTGGGTCTTTAGTCGCATGGGTCAAGTGGGTCTTTAGTCACATGGCTCAAGTGGGTCTTTAGTCGCATGGGTCAAGTGGGTCTTTAGTCGCATGGCTCAAGTGGGTCTTTAGTCGCATGGGTCAAGTGGGTCTTTAGTCACATGGCTCAAGTGGGTCTTTAGTCGCATGGGTCAAGTGGGTCTTTAGTCGCATGGCTCAAGTGGGTCTTTAGTCGCATGGGTCAAGTGGGTCTTTAGTCACATGGCTCAAGTGGGTCTTTAGTCGCATGGGTCAAGTGGGTCTTTAGTCGCATGGCTCAAGTGGGTCTTTA